AGACACAAATGTGTCTAGTGTTGTCGCCTCAACTGTTCCTTTTGAAAGATGGTTCCAGTCCCTGATTGTCTTGGGCAGGAATGAGCAGCTCCTATACTGGCTTCTTGCTGGTATGAGCCTGAATTGCTTGTCATGGCCTCGTCGCTGTCTATGGGGGAGAGGGACGAGTTTCTGTTTAATACTGGAACAGTGGACCAGCCCATTATTTATCTTGTACATCATGTAGAGCCTGGATTGTCGTCGTCGTTTCTCCAATGGTGACCAGCCTAGTGTTTCTAGCATGCTGCCAACACTAGAGGTATTCCTGTAGCGGTTTAGGACAAAACGTGCTGCTCGTCGCTGGACCGCCTCCAACCTGTCAATGCTCTTCTGGGTAAATGGGTCCCAGACTGAAGATGCATAATCTAAAATCGGACGGATAAAGGCTTTATATGCACTTTCTTTCACACAGGAGTTGCCAATCTTTAGATTTCGCCTTAAGAACCCCAAGGCTTGGTTTGCTTGGTTACATACATTGTTAATATGCTCGTCCCAGCGGACCTCTCTTTCCTTCGGCAGCCCTCGATCTTAAAATATCAAGTTGCGATGTTTATTTTTTTTAAAAATATTTGGAATCCTGCACTTTTATGTTGAAAACTAGTTATAGTCAATGTTCCCTTTAAGCAATCTCACAGACGCTGCGCAGCAGTTTTGAGTACCGCGCAGCCAATTTCCACTTAAGTGTGTGTTTGTGTCTGTAGGCGCACAAAAAAAATTGATGCTGTAAAAATGTGCACACTACTTTATGATTTTGCACACGAACCAACAAACCTTAAAGGGAACATTGGTTATAGTCCCACCAAAAATGTCGGCGGCAATGCGCGAACTTTCCATCTACTAAAGTTACTTGACAAACTGTGCACTTAAGTAACGCACTTTTTACGGATCCCACGTGTTCATGAAGGTCTGTACGTTCTGCGTGAAGCTCGCTGTTCATCTCCAAGTTTCGGCTCCATAGAATAGAATTGTATTGGCATTGGTGTTGCAAATTTTGACTTTGGTTTGCAGAGTCAGATCCTTTATTTTGTTTAATAGCACAAAAGCTGACCTAGCCTTTCCCATTCTAGCCCTGACACCCGCTTCGGATCCAGCATTTATGTCAATGATGCCACCTAAGTATATGAAGGCCTCCACTTCTTCCGGTGCATATCCTACCAGAGAGATATGCATTTGGTGTGCTGAGTTTACCTTCATGATCTTTATCTTAATTTTATTTATATAGGGTCCGAGCTGTTGGTGAAATGGTGGCTACATCTTTTATCCTTTTCTGCATTTTTTGCTGGTTGTGGGACAGAAGTGCAATGTCATCTGCAAAGTCTAAGCCATTAATCTGTTGCCATTATAATAAACAATTGTCAAATTATGCACTATTTTTAGCTTTGAACATTAATTTTCATAATATATCATACGTAAATATGGAACTTATATTATTGTAGTGGAAAGTAGATTTGAAAAGTAGGACAGGCACGCAGGGCCGTCGTATCAGCATTGGTTGGGGGGGGGGGCGGGTGGGGGTTGCAACCCTGGGGAAAATAATTCACCGAGGCTTCTTATTCATCTCTATATTTAAGTCATGACATTAAGAATCCTTAGCCAAGGTTGACCCATGCGTTATTACCAATTTTTCTTTAAGACAATTTTATCCGGAGGGACACGAATTTGAATAGGGGAGAGGAGCAGGACATTCAAAATTAGTCAAAATGTCGCTCAATAAAACAACCTGGAAATAGTACCAGGGGGGTAAAATGGTGGGGCGGAGGGGTGGCATTTTTAACCCTGATATGACGGGGCGGAATTTTCGGCCATAAGCAGAGTTCTTTCATGTTTTGTGGGGGGGGGGCAGAAATCTTGACACACCCTGGACGGTACTAACTTTAATCATTAAGCCACTGAGCAATGCTTGCCACCAAACTCAAATTTTTATCCTTTGTTCAGAGTCCCTAGTCATGTTCATTGGCCCAGCTATCGGCAAAGACCATTTAAGCAACTCGGTTGTACGTAGTATTTCTTTCAGTTATCTCTCCGGGAGTAGGCACCCCCCCCCCCAATCCCTTGGAGCAAGTCAAGTGCGCCCCCCCCCCTTTCCGGGGAAAAATGTACACAACAAAAAAAAAAAAAGTAAAAAGAAAATAAATTTAATAAAAAAGACTTAACTGACATTTTTATAAAATTTTTAAATTTTGTTCAGAGTCCCTAGTCATGTTCATTGGCCCAGCTATCGGCAAAGACCATTTAAGCAACTCGGTTGTACGTAGTATTTCTTTCAGTTATCTCTCCGGGAGTAGGCACCCCCCCCCCAATCCCTTGGAGCAAGTCAAGTGCGCCTCCGCCCCTTTCCGGAGAAAAATGTACACAACAAAAATAAAAAAAGTAAAAAGAAAATATATTTGATAAAAATGACTTAACTGACATTTTTATAAAATTTTTAAACAAATAGTAACTGGTTCCCAAAAACCGATTTATTTTTAATTTATTTTTATTCGATTTCCCTCAGATAAAAATCACACACTCATAAATATATTATGTCTTTTGTAAAAATCTAATGTCTTTTAAACCCAATTATGCCATTAAAATAAGCTTTTTTATAAATGGCCAACTTTGAAAACTCATAAAAATGTATAAACCTTTCTCAAAATGAGTGTTTTTTTTTCACCTTTTGACTCTTGTAAAAATTATCAATAAAAATATTTAGAAAAGGTTATTATGAGAAGTAAGTTGTTGGTTTTATTTTCCTTTGCGCTCAGCATGTAAAATAATTTTAGCAGTGCTTTTTTAAAAAGATTTTTCGGGTTAATATTCATTTATTATTTAAAAATTTAACCCCCAAAAAACAATTTAAATAATTTTTTTTTAAAAATAGCTATATATATATATAATAATAATAATAATAATAATAATCATAATAATAAAGTTCATTTCAAAAACACGCTTCATCCCCAAAGGCTCGAAGCGCGGTACAAAGTCAACGAAAAACAAATCTATAATTTACCACATTTAAAACAAACGCAACACTACAAACACTAATTACAAGCATACAATGGCAAAGTCTTTCTAGCCATTTCAACCCTAAGCAACACAGCCATTATGCATTCACTGAAAAATAAGGTTGACAATCATCCCAGAAGGTGTTTGCTAAATAGATGTGTCTTTAAATTGGTTTTAAAGGACTCCAGTGTCTGGTTGCTTCTGAGATCGACAGGAAGGGCGTTCCAAATTGTTGGACCAGCAAGAAGGTGAAGCAGAGCCGCTTGACATTTCGAGGCATTCTGCCTCTTTTCGGTTTTGTTCTCCACCCCCCCCCCACCCACCAAATTGCATTCAAAGTTGTTATTTAAAAAAAGTGTCGTCAACCCAACTTTAAGCCCATAAAATATCCTGGTTGACGGCATCTTTAGGGATTGCAGGGCCCACCAGATGGCTCTGTGGTCAAGTGACACGCCTCCGGTATAAAGGAAACGTGACACCTGGGCGAACTTACACTTTCTATGCCACCGTCAGAGGTGTAGCTGGAGTGTTTGGCGCCATGNCCCCCCCCCTCGCCTCGAGGACATTATCTGAAGGAAACACTGGTTGCACTTTGCCTAGTTAGTCAAAGGACGTCATACCTCACACACACCATGCCATGAGACTTACAATTAGAATTAATATTCTTTTTATTTACTGAACGAAAAAGATGTCTGTAAATTTCCATAATAGTTTTTCCCTCCGTTTCAGGTCGAAACCTTTTTTTTGTTTTGCCTCGCATAACCCCACAATAAGAAGTTTCAAGCAGGTAAAGCCTGACACGCAGCGGTTATGGTAGGCACATTGCACTTGGCATTCACCTCCATGTCGAGCACGGTGCATCTGCAAAAAAAATTATTTTTTTTTTAAATACGCAAATAAAATAATAAAAAGGTTGATTAATTATCAAATTATACAGCCATACAAATTACAACAAAAATATCCCGACCTAAACTATGACATAGTAATCTCCATAATTATCAAACCAAGGGTTGATATGATAAGTGGGGAGTCGTATAAATTCAGTGGCGTAAGCAAGGTTTAGTGCCCCCCCCCCCCCTAACTATTCAGTAAACCAAAAATTACCCCACTTGAAATAGAGAAAAAAGTGCCGACCTTAGCGAATCCCCCCCCCCCCCCCTTTCCTTTTTTCAATTTTACGTCACTGAAGGGATTCTTCTTCTTCATGGGGAAAAAATAATAATTGCCGTCCATTTGTCCGATCCTAATACATTTAAGTAATGGGGCTGAACAGTCGTGTAGCTATACAAAAAGGTGTAGTTGAACAGGTAAGAAGCTGAACAGAGTTGGAGATGAACACGGGTGAAGCTGAACAGGTAGGAAGCTGAACAAAGGTGGAGATGAACACGGGTGAAGCTGAACAGAGGTGGAGATGAACAAGGGTGAAGCTGAAGAGGTAGGAAGCTGAAAAGAGGTTGAGATGAACAAGGGTGAAGCTGAACAAGTAGGAAGCTGAACAAAGGTTGAGATGAACAAGGGTGAAGCTGAACAGGTAGGAAGCTGAACAGAGGTGGAGATAAACATGGATGGAGCTGAACACTGGTAGAGCTGAAAGAGGTTGGAGCTGAACAAGGGCGGAATGAACAGTGGAAGGATGAACAAGTGTGTATTTGAACAGGGACGAAGCTGAACAGGTGGAGTTGAACAGGTAGGAAGCTAAACAGAGGTAGAGATGAACTCGGGTGGAGTTGAACAGGTAGGAAGGTGAACAGAGATGGAGGTGAACATGGATGAATCTGAAAAAGGGCAGAGCTGAAAGAGGGGGGAGTTGGCCAAGAACGGTGTACTTGATATTTTAAATTACATCAAAAGAAAAAAAAATCATTATTTTTCTCTGCTGCCGATGCCACTGTGCGTTAAAAAAAGACAACAATAGCGTACATTTAACTGAGAATATAGTTAATATAAAACAATGAATGACTCACTCCTCCTTGTCTTGGGAACAGATTGCATTAATGCACCTGATGAAGAGATCCAAGATGTTAAACTTTTTGGTGATGCATTTTATGGTGGGAGATGAGAAAATTGGCCCACAGGCGTTCACAGCTTGGGTGGACAGTGCCTGGGTGCTGCAGGTCTCGTTGAATGTTTTCACGACCGTCTCACACTGGCTTCTATTGGCATCAACACACCACGCAAAAAAAAATTTAAAAAATATATATATATAATTGTATATGACACACACAAAAAAAAACCCAACCATTTTTAAATATAAATGTATATTTTTTAAAACATTTTTTAAAAAGTCAGCTCATGTCTTGACTAATATCCCCGAGATTTTGCCCTCCCTTCCACGAAATAAAATCTGAAGTAGGCCAAAAATCCTCCCCCCCCCCCTTTCAATATAAGAAAACAGTAGCACATCATACCGAACCCACTGTGCCCATGCTTTGTACATATTATCTAAGTCAATTACACTTTTTTGTTGTTGTTGAAAATAGCGCTTAATTGTATTCTCGGATTCATACCCAGATGTACATCCACCATTTTATTTCTCTGCTTGGTTTTGATGGCATTCGTCACGCTAAGACCCCCCCCCCCCCCCCCCCCACACACACACACACGCGCACTTTGTTTTTCACAATCTGCCCTGCCCTTGAATTTGATGTCATAAATGTCATAACAATGTCCAAACCTCTCGCTGGTAGTGACGGAATATTATTTCTGCGCTTTTGAGCACAATCGAGGTGCACCTTAGTTCCTAAATACCTTTTCTATCGTTTTTCTTTTCATAAAATCGAGATTTAAAGTTGTCCTCAAACATCTTCCCAGTTGCAAAGTCTACTTTTGCCTTTCGTACCACGGCAGTACAAACACATTTTGAAACAAGCCAAACCAACATATGGGTCGAGAGCAAAGATATCGCTCAGCAGAATTATAGCCGGGTCATAACGGATTTGTGTCGACGTTATAACAATTTCTGTCAATTTTTATAAAAACTAAGAGTTTTCCACTTTTGTGTCTTCTGTTTTTCCAAAATGTGTTAAGAAAATTGAAAATGTTCAAATAGTAGCAAACACTAGAATTTTCAAATGTCTTGTGATATTTTTTATTCCAGCGGACAGTTAGAAGTTTAAGGCAAAATTACAGTTCATCAATTACTATTGAATGCGGAGTGTATGGATTTGGGACACAGAAACAATTTTTGTCCTGCTCCAAAATTGTGTGTACGCTTCAATTTCTCTTCTTCGTGCGCATAACTTTTTCTGCTGTACCCCGCGCCCCCCCCCCCCCCATGTGCGAGCGCACACATGGGCACAGAATACATGGAACAATGATACTGACATCCCTTCACATAACTTAAATTCACATCACTTCAATTTAAATCACTTGACCTTGATTCAATTCACATCACTTCCCCTTAATTCAATTCACATCACTTCACCTTAATTCAAGTCACATCACTTCAATTCAAATCACTTGACCTTGATTCAATTCACATCACTTCACCTTAATTCAATTCACATCCCTTCACCTTAATTCAAGTCACATCACTTTACCTTAATTCAAGTCACATCACTTCATCACCTTAATTCAAGTCACATCACGTTACATCAGGTTCCCTCGCGTTATATCAAATCACTTCCTCTTACACGTCACATCACCTCACATCACATGATCACTTCAACTGACATCACATCACCTTTCATCCCCCACCTTAAATCGCATCACTTAACATCCCATTACATTATCTTACATCACATTGCATCACTGCACCTTACATCACTACAACTTACATCAATGCACCTTACATCACTAGAACTTACATCACTTCACATTACATCATTACAACTTACATCAATTCACCTTACATCACAACTTATATTAATTCACCTTGCACCAACAAACTTTACATCATTACAACATATATCAATTCAGATTACATCCCTTTACATCACCTCACATAACTTCACACTTTTATGACTCCACCTTGTATCGCGTCCCCTTACCCAAGCCACCTATTAAAATGTATTTTGTTTGTTTGTTTACAGCAGCATCATACGCACCCATTAGACTGTCGAGTCTCTGATTTCAACCAGGCTAGTAGAGCGGCCAGTTCCAGAGTACTCAGGGCATTCTCACTCTGGTAGGCCCCAAGACCTTCCTCGGAACAGTTGGTGCTCTGTCCGCACAGAGTTTCGGGATAGCCGCCCTGAAGGGAGGGAGATCCCAGGATTGTGCATGCCACTCCTGGGGTTTTTATCTGGAGTTGTTAATGTAATAATTTTAAATAAATCATATTAAAATAATAATAATAGTAAAATAATAATAACAATATTAAACAATCGATACAAAATAGATGTACTGTAAGAGAAGCTATTTTTATGACTTTTTTCAGATGCTACAAAGTAACGAAACGAAATATTGAATCCCGTTTGACACCATCCCCAACACAACCCCAACACACGCACACCATATCCCCCACCCCACCATACCCCACCACACCCCCACCATACCCCCACCACACCCCCAACACAACCCCCACCATACCCCCAACATAAACCCACCACTTTCCCACCGTACCCTAACCACTCCCCCACCACTACCCCACGCGAGTCTTGAAGGAGTCATTTTGACAATGCACGAAAATTAGGTCAAAGTGTTGGCGCACATTACTCCGTCTCACATTTTTCGCGAGATGCTATTCGCGTTTTAAATTAGATCTGGCTGTTGCAGACGTTTAAAGTAATTATTCGTGTAAATTAAAATCTAAATTTCCAGCAATATATATCAGGCCTTCAATGATGGTCCTTAAAATACAGCATAATCCACATTTTCCTTCTCCCCCATCTCCAAATTAAAAAAATATATATATATTGCACTATTTTTTTTTTCATGTGCCCTCGCGATGCTAAAATGCTGCCAATTGATTGGCCGATTTTAGGCATATAAAGTTTTCTTGTATGAATTTCAACATAAAACGTGCAGTTACTACATGTCATGATTTTCCTAATTCATTTTTATTTTTTTAAATATATCTTTAAATCTTATATTTTTGACATTTGCTGATTTGATACTTTACACGCTAAAGAACTTTTTTTTTTTTTTTTTTTTTTTTTTTTTTTTTTTTTTTTTTTTTTTTTTTTTTTTTTTATATTTTTTTTTTTTTTTTTTTTTTTTTTTTTTATTTTTTTTTTTTTTTTTTTTTTGTTTTTTTTTTTTTTTTTTTTTTTTTTTTTTTTTTTTTTTTTTTTTTTTTTTTTTTTTTTTTTTTTTTTTTTTTTTTTTTTTTTTTTTTTTTGTTTGTTTTTTTGTTGTTTTTTTTGGGGGGGTGGGGTGTGTTGTTGTTTTTTTTTGGGGGTTTTTTTTTTTTTTTTTTTTTTTTTTTTTTGGTTTTAACTCCAAAATCAAATCAGGATTACATTTTTATTCTATTTTTTTAAATTTATTTTTTATTATTATCATTTCTTTTAATGTGCTTTTAGCAAAAATGCAAATTTTTATTTTTTTAAAAAAAAAAGGCTTTTAGCATAATGTTATTTAAGTATGAAAATTTGAAATAATTGCTATTTATGAAGAAAAAAGATTTCCTGAAATTACCAGGGACCCAAATGGGAGGGAAGGGGGGCGGGGCAGGGCGGGTAACTAATAGTTATTCTCTTAGAGTAAAATATTTCATTTGTGCTTGAGGGGCGTTTTAATATCGCATCATTTCCAACCCTGACCGAGGAAATAGCCGTGTGTTCTGACACCCCCGTGTGGTTCCAGGACGACAGACAGCGGGGGGGGGGGGGGGGGGGGGGTTTGTTAAGGTTTTTTTTTTTTTTTTTTTTTTTTTAAAAAAAAAGCCTTTGTCAAAGACAGAGAAGAGAGAAACTCGTTGTGTGCAAACCTGCTCTGCAATGGCGCCTGTTCCAAGCGGAGGTCGAAACACGACATTCAACGCGCAGTCGGGGGAGTCCACAGTAAAGGACCCATCGCTGGCGTCCAGGGTGATGACGAACGTCCGGTTGAGCAACACGTAGCTGTACGTACCAGCGGGCAAGTTGAACTGAGGGTCACTTCCAAGCTGGCAAAAAAAAAAAAAAAAAAAAAAAAATAAGAGTACTTCAAAATTAGATTATTTTATTTTTAAACATTTTATTCATAATTTGCAGCAATCATGAATTTTTAGGCTACATCAATTGAGCCATCACACTCTTCACAATAAAATTTAATTAGAAAATCAAATAAATACAATTGTTATTCACAAATGCAAAGGCTATTTTCTTGAATAGTAGCACAATTTATTCTTATGTAAGTTTATTTCCTGAACAATCGACGCTAATAAAAAAAAATTTTAAAAAAAAAAGAGCCACTCACTTTATAATAAGCAACTGGAGGTGTCCCTGGTGTGACGTCATATAATATCTTCAGGTAATCGCCATCAACACCAACACTGATTTGGACGCTCGTTGCGTAGGAAAAATAGTCCCTGAAAAGAAGGGGAAACAATGCACACTAGCCACTCTTACAAACAGTCAATACCACTCAACACGCCCCCCCCCCCACCCCCCCCAGAACTCCCCATGTAATCGCCATCAACACCAACACTGATTTGGACGCCCGTTGCGTAGGAAAAATAGTCCCTGAAAAGAAGGGGAAACAATGCACCCTAGCCACTCTTACAAACAGTCAATACCACTCAACACGCCCCCCCCCCCAACCGCCCATGAATTTCCCATTTATGTTTATTGATTAAACCAGGGGTAGGCAAACGATCGTACCCGGAAAATTGTTTGAAAGAAATTTCGTCGACGGGATATTGATCGACGGAAATTTGGTCGAATCATTTTTTTTTTTCAGTTCACACGTTAAAATTTTGCGTCAGATTTCTTTTTGAACGCATTATTTGTTTTACCATACATATAGTATTGTGGAAATAAACACAAAATAAAACACTGTTCGTAACTGTTTATTTAGTCTTACTACACATAATGAACATATAGAGTTCCAACTAAAAACACCAACAAGTGAAACAAACCTAATGTGATATTGGTTTATCTTTTCTCTAACTTAACTTGTATGGAGAAACAAAATAATGTATACAAGTGGGATGGAGAAAGAAGTGGCATGTCCTACACCCAGAAGAGCACAACAATGTACAAAACATTGGGCAGAATGCTATGAAGAGCATTTTTGTGTACAAACTTTCAGATACACATTCAATGAAGGTAATGTGATCTAGAAAGTGGTATGTGAGGGTGATGTAATATAGAAAGTGGTATGTGAGGGTAATGTGATATAAAAATAGTATGTGAGGGTAATGTGATGTAGAAAGGGGTATGTGAGGGTAATGTGATGTAGAAAGCGGTATGTGAGGGTGATGTGATATAGAAAGCGGTATGTGAGGGTAATGTGATATGAAAATAGTATGTGAGGGTAAAATGATGTAGAAAGTGGTATGTGAGGGTAATGTGATATAGAATGTGTTATGTGAGGGTTATGTAAAATAGAAAGTGGTATGTGAGGGTAATGTGAAGTAGAAAGCGGTATGTGAGGGTAATGTGATATTGAAAGTGGTATGTGAGGGAAATGTGAAATATAATATGTTACCTGAGGGTAATATGATATAGAAAGTGGTGTGTGAGGGTAATGCGATATAGAAAGTGGTGTGAGGGTAGTGTGATCTAGACAGTGGTACTTGAGGGTAAAGTGGCATCGCGAGTGGTACGCGACGGCAATGTGATCTAGATCTCGAAAGTGGTACCGTGAAGTAAATGTGATCTAGAAAATGGTCACAGAAGGGAATGTGATCTAAAAAGTGGTATTTAAAAGAAAAATTAACACCATCCAGTCCTTAACAGATGACACCAGAGCAATGAAATCTGTATATGTGTGTTTATAAGGGGAGAAGAGAGATTCACGATAAGAGAAAGTAAAAGAGAGAGAGAGGCTGATCGACTGTAGGAATATTCAGCCATCACTTGTTTTTTGCATATTTTTTAAAATAATAGTAGCACTCACAGGAAGAGAGTATTTGTGGCGTACACTATCACCTCACACCCTTGCCCTGCAGTATGCGAGGCCAGCCTGTATCTGCAAGGTATCGGCACCGAGGCTTTTTCGCGGCAAAAGTTCGTGAGGTACGGATCATCGATCACGTGACAGGAAATATAATCTGATGACATGACAGAAAACTTAATGAGCCCACATGGATGGAATCTAGCTTAAATATTTTGCACTTATTAAAGAGAAACTGATTAAGATCTAAATTTAACATAGTGTACACAACGCTATATATATATATATATATAATCAAAACGCCAGCTGGGGCATCGAACATGACACGCCCATTCTATGAAACTATAATTATCCCCATACCTTTCTGGTAACACTTGACATGTCCGATACCAGTGTACGGAGTGGCACAGCGGCACTGGCTGTCGTTTCTGCAGAATGCTTCGGGAACACAGACGCGTTTTCCGCACTTCTCTGCAACAAGGTGCATGCAATTGATATAGATTACAATGGTCAGTGAACGGTTTGGGGGGGGGGGATTCAAGACAAAAATTATACAGAACATGGAATGATAACTAACCGAAACAAAACAAAGTCAACAATTACAAATAAGTTATAAGAAACGCGGAACAAACGAAACAAAACAAAAAAGTGTGCACAAATTAATGCGGCCGTCTAAATTATCATTGATTTTTAAAAAAACATTAATTGAAAATGTTGAAACGACGCGAAACGGCTTTAAAAACTAAATTTTCAAACACAAGGAATTGAAGGAAACACAATTATTTTTTTTTAAAATCATGACACGAATTTTAATGTAAGTTCTCTTTGAAAACATGAAATTCGCAAAAGTGCGATAAAGTCCAATGTTTAAAAAAAAAATCTGCCAGAGCCTAGATGCCATTAACATAAATGCGCAAATGTCAATGGGCGTATGTCGATTCCGTCAGCAGAAGGAGCAATGCGATAGTCCCAACAGTCACCTAAAATATAGCAGCCGTCCTGGTAAACCAGGACCCTCCCACTCTTCAAAAAATGCACTAGCTCTTTTTCTGATCGCTACCGCCTTGTCAGCAAATCGATGAGCTTGATATCATTGCGGTTGTTTCAATATATTGACACAGTGGCGGATTTTCTGGCGGGGGTGGGTTCGACGAGAAAGCCGCCGAGGTCGACACATTGGGATGAAGGCGCCAAATCGAATGGATGAAAATAGCGGGGGTGGGGGGGGGGGGGGGGGGGAGGAGGGTGGAGTCTGGGGTCTGGATAGGGGGTTCGTTCCAACCGAAAACTTTTGATAACAGAGATGCTTACCTGAATTGAGTTTAGACTCATTGTACGCTTAATCGGATAGCAGCAAATGAGGTTCTAGCAGATATTTATATCCTCTGCGTAAGAGCTAGTGAGCTTTCACTAACCTGAACGTGGTGGTCAGAGGGGGGGGGGGCTGAGGGTGACCTAGAGACCGACCGAAAGCGATTTTCTGATATCGGCCGAAGCCGAAAATAAGCCGCAAGTTTAAAATGACTTTCGGCCAAAACCCAAAATAGGCCGAAAGTTTAAAAATTACTTTCGGCCGAAACCGAATAAGGCCGAAAGTAAAAAAATTAATTTCGGCCGAAACCAAAGCCGAAACCGAAAATGAAACATTTAGATATTTTGAAATTCGTTCCCGCATACATTCTGCATACATCGAAAATGATGGGGGAAAGTATAAATATTTATATTCTTTTTATTTAAAAAAATGAGAGAATCGTGAATATTAATAAATAAACATCTAATATAACATCTTGTAGTTAAAGATAGTTTAGTTTGTTCTTAAAGATCGCTTAGTTTGTTGTTAAAGATCGTTCAGTCTTTTTTAAATGATCGCTTTATTTGTACTTAAAGATTGGTTAATTTGTTCATAAAGATCGCTTAGTTTGTTGTTAAAAATCGTTTATTTTGTTTTTTTAAGATCGCTTAGTTTGTTCTTAAAGATCGCTTCGTTTAAGTTTAAAGATCTTTTAGTTTGTTATTAAATATATTTATTTTGTTCAAAAAAGATAGCTAAGTTTTTTTCTTAAAGATCGCTTGGTTTGTGTTATTAATATATAGTTTAGTTTTTCATAAATATCGCTTAGTTGTTCTTAAAGATCATTCAGTTTGTTCTTAAAGATCATTTAGTTTGTTTTTATAGATCTTTTAGTTTGTTATTAAAAATCGTTTAGTTTGTTCTTAAAGATTGCTTATTTCGTTGTTGAAGATCGCTTAGTTTTTTCATAATGATCGCTTAGTTTGTTTTTATAGATAATTGATTTTGTTCCTTAAATATAAATGAAAGGACTGCTTTCAAGCTTAGTAAATGAATGAAATAGCGAAGCGAGGTATGTGCAAGCTTGAAATAAGATAACAGGACAAAAAACGAGGACGTTTCGGCATAAGCCTTCCCCAGCCAACCATATACTTTCATTTCTATTGTTTCTATCGTTTCTGATGGCCGAAAGTCTAAGTCAATTTCGGCCGAAACCGAAAAAACAGAAATTTAACTTTTCTCTTTCGGCCGAAACCGAAATTAAGCCGAATTTTAACTTACAGTTTCGGCCGAAACCAAAACTTGACCGAAAGTGATAAAATGGCCACTTTCTGCGCCGAAACCCAAGCCGAAATTCGGTCGGTCTCTAGTTTGACCCCATGCCTACGTCAGGGACGTGCTGGCCCACGATGACGCGACGCGCATTCGTCATGGGCCTTTATGGGCAGCTATTACAAGCTCCGGTGTGCGGTTGGGCCCCCGGGCCTTTCTTACTACACCGTTCGTCATGGGTTTCCATGTGCCAGCACGTCCCTGGCCTACGTCACTTTATGGTCATCATACGTTTAACTTCAATACAGCAACGGGCTTATCGATATAACAACGTCCAGCACGGTCCTGACAGTGGCCGAGGAAGTAGGGGAGGGATGTTGGCGGTCCGCTTGGGCGGCATTGATTTTGGTGGTGGGAGAAAAAGGAAAAGGATGAGGGGCGCTTCGAGTACACCAAAGAGGAACCGTTGCGTAGGATTTTCCTGGGATTTAAATTTTTTTGTGTCACGAATTAGCTTCTTAGATTCAGTAGATTGTTTACAATGAAATAAAACACACAACACACTGTATAGCAATCTCATTGTTCAAGGAAAGTTTAAACATGTAAAGAAATATTCACAAAGAAAAAAAAAAGGATGTAAAACAGATGAAGAACTTACGACATCTAAATACTAACATGGTACTTCTGCACAAGGTTTCTTGTGATTAAATCTTTTAAAAAAATAAATAGAAATTTAAAATGTACATGAACTATGAAGGCTTGAAACGCGTAGCCTTTGTAAGTACCTCTTCAGAAAAAAAAAAGTAGTTCTAATCCATAATTTTACAAAAGTCCTAATCCGTAAAAAGTCTGTATTCTGTTATATCAGAAAGACAGCGTTCGTGACAGCTTCAGTGGCAGACAGTGACAGTGGATTAAACATTTCTACATGACTTTTTACCTTTAAAAAAAAAATGTGCCTTTACAATCTTACAGTGTGATTTTGTTTTGATCGTGGAAGAAAGCTTGTGGTCGAAGCAAACGTCGTTGCCAGGAGTGAAACTGGGTTTTTGACGCCCTTGGCTAATTTATTTTTAGCGCCCTTTTGTTTAAATAAAAATTTAAAAATTTAAAAATTAGAGATTTAGCGGCGCCCTTTTGAACTGGCGCAGGCCAGCGCCCTCGGCAACTGCCCCATGACAAGCCGTTGTTACGCCACTGGTCGTTGCAATAAACCTCCTTTTCAAGCCTTCACTCGCTTCCCACGTAGTTCTTCACTAGATGACTGGGTCGGTGGGGAAAAGTTAAAAATAGCGTTCTTCGGAAACATTGAACTAAGTTACAGGTACTTGATATTTTAAATAGTGGAATTTACAGTTTAGTTGAGACCTAACTTAAAGCTTATCAGATCTTCTGGATGCCAAGTACGGGCACAAAGGCTCACAGCAACCGGAGGCATGGCAGCCTGAGGAAGGGTGGGGGTAGGGGAGAGAATCGGGGTGGGGGAGGTGTTGTTTGCATGATTTTTAATATCCTTCTGCGCATCATTTTGTTACAAACTATTGTGAATATTTTGCAGATTCATGAATAGCCTTTTTTAAAAAAAATGTCCATTCTCTAGAAGCATATCATCAAATTGAGGACATGTTAGATCAATGTTACACCGAACAATCAAAATATCTGAGTCAGAGTGGTTACTTTCAGTTCCGATTTCTCAGGCGTTTAAGCATTGTTTCCCCGAGAGAAAGCGCGCTCCACGGGTGCCATTTGTGCCGCGAAGGTTGAATGAAAACTCAGCTGTAGTTGCAAAGTTACAGAAGGTACCTAATTTGCATTTAAATGTTGAACTATTTGCATACATTTTTAATCTTTAGAAATGTTTTGCGAGTTCCATTCTTCCAGCTCAACAGGTGTCACAAAATGTTTCATGCAAGTTAGCCAATCAAGGAAATCGCTATCGACCTTTTCCCCTGGGAAGATGTTGGCTTGGTTTAGGTCCTACCTCTCATATAGAACACAGGCGGTCGCTGTCGATGGCTGTCTCTCCGGCAGTGCTGACTTGGTGTACGAAGTGCCACAGGGGTCCGTTTGGGGCCCGGTTCTGTTCACAATGTATACCAGGCCACTGCTCCTCTTGCTCGGGAGGCATGCTGTGGAGAGCCAGTCATTCCAAGATGACACGCATCTATACAAGCATACCCATCCTTTTCTTGTCGATTCTGCGATCCGGGCTTTGCGGGAGAGCATTGGTGCTGTCAAGACATGGATGATACTCAGCAAGTTGAAGCTTAACAATGACAAAACGGAAGCACTTCTTACTCACAATCATAAATCATCCTCTAACTCAGCTCTCCCCACTTCATTTCATGTAGGTAACTCCGACATACAGTTTACATTCTACGCTAGGAATCTCGGTTATATTCTGTCTAGCAACATGTCTCTCGGTAAACACATTTCTCACATTTGTCGCTCTGCATACACCGCTATTCGTCAGATCAGCTCCATCCGTCAATACCTCACAGTTAGAGCAAAAAAAACAACCCTAATATGTGCTCTAGTTCTCTCTCGTCTTGTCTATTGTAACTCTCTTCTATCAGGTTCACCAAAACTATCTTCTTAGAAAAATTACAAAAGGTAAACAACACAGGTGCTAGGCTAATTCTAAAGGCAAAACAAATAAAAAATACAAAAAGAACGTGACCACGTCACACCACTACTTCATTCACTTCATTGGCTCCCTGTACAAGCACGGATTGACTACAAACTCTCTGTTCTCTGCCACAACATTTTCTCGAATTCATCCCCTTCCTATCTAACCGAAATTCTCTCTGTCTTTTCCCCCCTTCGACAGCTTCGCTACTCCGCAGACGCGCGTATTCTTTCTGTCCCTAAGACTCGCAAAAAAAAAACATACGGTGAACGATCTTTCTCTTTCTGTGCCCCCAAGCAATGGAATTCTCTTCCATTACACATTCGCAATATACCGACCATCACAGTCTTCAAAACTGTACTCAAAACACATCTTTTTAAACTTTACTATCCTGACTATCCCCCCCCCCCTCTGATCGATAAACGATACTGCTGGGTAACCATCCATGGCTTGACATGTAAATAGTTCTTGAATGTGTGGAGTGAATATACATTTGTTTTGTTTTATTTAATTAATGTATGTTAATTTTTAAGTTCATTATTATGTTTGTTAAATTGTATTTACAGCGTGGTGAGCCCATCCCTAGGCTATATAAAACCACCACTAATAATAATAATTTCATTTTTTCCATGCGCAGATATCCTAAGGCGGTTTTACTGAGGTGCAACAGTAAGGCTTAGGTTAAAGAGACATGTTCCGCACGGTGGAGCTGAAACTATTCACGCATTGTGGAGAAATAAGATGAGATGAATGGAAATAAGGCAATCACGTTGTCGCTGCCGAAAATACGGACGAAAAAGACGACGAATTGAAAGAACGGACAAATACGTGTTATGTAGAAGACGTGTTTACATCACTTTCCACGTGCCGTGAACTCTGTTTGACCCCAAATTAGGCTGCGTTCGTGTTGGGCGTGGCATTTTCCCTTTGATCTTGGCCTTTGTTTACTACCGCTACCAACTAAAAATAATTAATATTTTCTAATAGAATTTTGTGGAAAGTTCGGGAGTGAACTGGAAAGAAAAACAAGGTGTAAAGCGTTTCCAGAAGCCCCGGTTCTACCGACGCATAGATTTGAAGGAAGATTCATGGAGATAAGATTTTGACTTCACGAGACAAGAGTGTGTTGTGTTATTTTGTGTTTCCTTATAATGTGTTTCGTTATGTGAATTCGTATTTCTTCATTTTACCTTATTTTTTTGGCACATTGTATAAACTTTGTACCGGTACAAGACCTACCATACTCTTGATGATTCTTAATCATTTATTTTATTGTGTAACTATATAGATATTATCTAAATAAATCTTATTAATTGTAATAAGTACTATTTGAGTGTCGTATTTTTACTATTGTATTTCTCATAATGTATCGTCTTTTGTTATGCACTGTTTATAATGAGCCATAAACTAAAAATAAGAGATTTATCACTCACAATAGACAGCAGAGCGTAACACACGGACTTAAAAATTATTATGGACAGCTGGTAGAAAAGTCAAACTGTCCATACTAAATACGGATGTCTGGTAACCCTAAGTCTTATAAATGGTATATATATATTATATATATATATAAATTATATGTATTAAACATATTTTAAAGTTAAATTTTAAAGTTTCATTTTGTTTTTAAATTGCCCTTTTTAAAAAAAAAATGTTTCAATGACTAATAATGCTAATATGGTTGAAATATTCTGTTAAGAAATGTAGTTTAAAAAAGTTGTTCGCTTTTTTTTTTCCAAAACATGTCACCGAAAAAAACAAAACTAGCATAACCAGTGTTTGAAAATGTATGCGTGGTTTAATTAATAACTGTTTATTTTGGAGGAATCTTTATCACTTTTTAAATATTTGATAAGTGTTTCGGGTTACAATCCACGTTTAGAATCTGATGGCTTGATCCATAACAACGTTGGTGTTAGCTGGTATGGGGAATCCGCCGCCGCAGTTTATGAATTTTAGAAATAGACTATCATTGATTGATTTGCCTTTTAACATGATCCACGTGTCATGTTGCGAGTCCGCAAAGAGGTCACCGCCTATGTATAGCGGTCTGCGTCTGGTCCATAAATGTCCACACTTCACAGCTTCATCAGCCCCGGCCTGCACCCTTTGAGCCTGGAGATCAAAGGCTTTTTTTAGGGTCGGTGTCAACAAAATTAACGGGATCAAACGGAGTGACTTCATAAAATCGCCCTTCAATGTTTGGAGTTTATTCATTAAAACTGAAGTTAACCGAAATGAAAAGATTCGCCACGATTTTGCACCAGACAACAACAAGAACAAAAGTTTTTTTGTTTTTTTTTTAAAAATATTTTAGAAATCAGCAATATTGCGGAATTTTAGTTTTTATATTTATTAGTTTATTAAACTATCATGGGATCTTAATTAATTTATTTTTCAAAAATTTACAATGGTGGCGTTGTCCTCGAAGTAGCCAATAAACTCAGCATTTCTCGGGTTTGTCTTCGGGGAAAAAATATCAAATGGCGTTACAAGCGAACACGTTTTAAAAACACTTCTCTAAAGTAACTATTTACTTTCCTACAAAAGACCAGAGTTGTAACAATTCTTGTAAACATTGAGTTTAGGGACCATCCCGTTTGAGCTAATTTTCCTGCAACCGGATTGCCTGCGATTGTACGCTTGCAATGCAGGGTGGCCGACAGCGTTCCTAACCAGAGGTCTAAAACCAATTAATATTCAATTGGGCCATATACTGGCCGCTTAGGATGGCTCCAACCTTTTGGCCAATTTCCTGGTTCCGAATGTGGTTCTTTCTTGTTTGGCCAGCAGCTCGCCTTAAACTTTAACAACCCAGCTCACTGATGACGATTTTTCTCGCAAGACTTCCATTCAGAGCCAAGGTTTGACTTTGTAACCGTGTAATTATCGGATGTCGGGAATACAATTAAGACATAAACTAATTTTTCTGGCATTTAAGAAGCTTATACTAAATTGTAACCCATTTAAATAATTTAATGTTAAAAATGAAACCTAACATGGACTGAAATTGTTCCGTCGTAATAAATGATGTCTTAGTGACGTTGCAAACCTCATAAAATACACCAACCCATATTTGGACTAAATTCTGTTTAGGGCTAATTCTCAAACGTGTGATTCTCCCTTTCTAACACAGATTTGATATTTATTAAGGATGAAATTTAAAACTGAGCCCCTAAGGTGTCGTCCATTAATTACGTCAACAATTTTAAAGCAATTTTTTCCAGCCCCCCCCCCCCCGTTGTCAACAGCTGTAAAACTTTCATTGANCCCCCCCCCAAAAAAAAATGAATTATATAATAAATAAATTGATAAATACGTTTTGCTTTGTGCTGATCTATTTCAATGACACAAAATTGTAGGAAAAACAAACATTTCATTACATCTTTAGCTTGTTAATTATCAAGTTAAAAAGTTTTTACACTTAAATTTTATAAATATCATTGTTTGTGGTTTAAATATGATTATTTTCAGTAAAGCTTACAATTATAGTATGGGTTCTAGCTGCTATCATCTTCCCGTGGAGTAGCCAGGTTTGCTCCATAGCAGCGGTTCCCAACCTGGGAGTCGCGACCCTTTCAGGTGTCGAACGACCCTTTCACAGGGGTCACCTAAGACCATCGGAAAAACACATATTCTATAAAGTTTTGAAGTAGCAACGAAAATATTTTTGTGGTTGGGGGTCGCCAAATTTCGCGGAACTGTATTAAAGGGTCGCGGCATTAGAAAGGTTGAGAACCACTGCTCTATAGTAACAATGAACATCATTTGGGTAGTGCCGGGGGGGGGGGCATTTGCCCCCACGCCCTACTTTGCAGGTTTTCTAAACTGCTATGTACTGAGGCTATATACAAACCAAGAGCTATATCATTTGTACATGACCCACCAATAGTCGCAACTTCGCAACCATAAAAAAAAGGAAGACTGCGCTGGAGCGCCACCTATGATAATGATAAAATCCTTCAGATAAATATTCCAGTTAATTTTTCAAATACTTCCCATTAAAATGAGAAGGAATTCGCCTTTTAAACTTTGGCCATGGGGGCCACCGACGCCGAAAGAACTTAATCTTTAATATTTTACAACAGTGAGTATTTTAGTTTGGATAACTTTATAAAAAAAAAAATTCCTATTAAAAGTGGTTGTTAAACGCAAAAATATATGTTGTTTAATTTAAAATAAAACTAGGCAACCCCTGCACAAAAAAGATGCGGATATTATTAACACCCATCGCCATCATCCTCATCAGTGGCGCTACAGCCCAAGTAGGGCCCTGGCCTGCTCCACCACATCCATGGCTTTCCGCCTCCATGCGCGAAAATCCCTTTTCTACACCGTCGATCCATCTCAGCCTTGGGCGACCGGTGAGTCGTCTGCCCCTTGGTTTCTGCCCGTATATCTCTTTTGCCGTTCTACATTCCTGCATCCTTTCAATATGTCCTGCCCAGCGCAGTCTGTCTTTTTTTTTTATTGTTTCGACTATGGGTGACAGTGCTGAAATAGTGCATTGCCTTCATCAACCCCGTTTGTGTCAAGATATAACCCACTATTAGGAACGGGCAGTTGCCGGATCCCGGAATTGAGATGACGTTGTACAAAAACCCGGCCGCAGAGAAGATATTGTCGTTCATTTTACAACAAAGCCTTGGGAAACATCAGTAGCAGTATAACGGCAATAACAATAGCTTCCTGTGCGAGGCTACGGAAGAACTCACAGTCGCACAGAAGACCGAATATAAATTCATTCATGTAATTGACCTTCTACAATATTACGCCGTTATAAATTGACGCCGTTCAACAGCTCCCTCTGCTTTCCAATATTAAAGTCTCGATTCCATACTTTTTCCCCTTGACATGATCTTTGTCCTACAGACCTTTGTCCCCCAGACCTTGCCATGACCTTTGTCCCCCACACCTTGCCATGACCTTTGTCCCCCAGACCTTGCCATGACCTTTGTCCCTCAGACCTTGCTATGACCTTGTCCCTCAGACCTTCCCACAACCCTTCTCCTGAGCCCTTGCCATGATATTTATTCCCCCCCCCGACCTTGCCATGACCTTTGTCCCCAGTCCTTGGCATGACTTTTGGCCCACAGACCTTGCCATAACCCTTGTCCCAAGAAATCACCACGAACGACCCTTGTCCCCAGACCTTGCCATGACCTTTGTCCCCAGTCTTCGCCACGGCCTTTGTCCAGATCCTTTGTCACAACTCTTTGTAACATAACAGGACTTTTTAAATCTATAGGAAACACGACGAACATAAAACAACACACTTAGAATAGCTAACGAGTTTTTGTTAATCAAAGCTAAAGCAGAATTTTATATCACTGATTTCTATAAAAACGAATACCGGATCATCTATCTCAGCGGTTCCCAACCTTTTTTTTTCTTCAATTGCACCCCTTGATGAGGCTGTTCATTTATGTGTAAGCTAAATATGAAGCAGATAAAGCAGGCATGACATATACAGGCTTTTATTTTCTATTTCACAAGCTAATTCAGTTTCTTCTTTTCCTACAAAAGACGTAGCTAAAAACATATCTCAAAATACATATTTTTATGTAAAAACAACCGAATTTAATACATTAATATGGGTTTCTCATTATCAACTTCATTCAAAAAAAAAATGTGTGTGATTAATTTTTTTTCCTAAACATGGAAATTTCTTGTAAATGAACGGTTATAAAATTAACACTTTTTTTTTTTGGCCGTTTTCCGAGCCATTTTCTATTGATGTTTTGAGTACTGAAAAAAAACAACAACTGCCCACCACGTACCCCTAGGCTCTGAAAACCCCTGATCTATCTGGTTTTGAAACTATTTTTTGTTTCTTTTTTAAATCTCCAAGTGCTTAAGTTATCGTCCGACACCTGGCCGTTAAGGTGGGGACACTGCATTTGGCCTGTTTCACTTCGTTGTCGAGCTTGCTGCATCTGCAACGAAAATAAATTTTAATAGTATGTTAATAGAACTTACAATGATGCCGATTGAAAATTAAAGTTCACTTGCCGTTAACGATAAATATATTACATCAGTACTCCTTAATCATTGGGGATTAAGGGGAGGGGTTCCCCTAATAAAAACACACACACGTTTTCATCGAAATAGATTGAAACCCTTCAAAATGTATGTGGTAACATTCAAGAACATAAATGAATAATTATAGAATATATTGAGAAACACCGTTTATTATTAAACTCAGTCTTAAAAAATAAATTTAAAGCCCCCCCCCCCCTTTTTTTAACCCCACCCCCCCCCCCCCCCCAAAAAAAAAGAAGAGATTACTCACTTCCCCTGGTCTTGGGAACATATTGCAGTAATACACCTGGTAAAGAGCTCCACGATGTCAAACCTTTTGGCGACGCATTTAATGATATGGGATGAGAAAATCGGCCCGCAGGCGTTCACAGCTTGGGTTGACAGTGCCCGGGTGTTGCAGACATTATTGAATGTTTCCATGGCCGCCGCACACTGGCTTCTGTAAGGACAAACGGAAAATCATCATGTTTTAAATAGAATAATTTGTATGTATTTTTTAACATCAAACCGGAAGGGGGTGGTGTCCAGTCTCATCCTCACCGGACCTCTCTCGGCCACACCCTAATTCGCTTCAACGCATTCCTCCACCTCACTGCTCCTCACCGTATCTCCCTTCACATCATCTCTCTTCATCTTACATCACATCACCTTACACCAGCTTTCCTTTGGGTGTGAACTGAGTCCATTCGTTTTGCACTCCTTCCTCTTTTGTCTCTATTTCGACGATCGGCAAGAAAATGGAAGAGAAACGAATGTGTTAAATTTTTGTAACGTCACTGGCGACACATTGCGTCATTTTCCTCAGTTTGGTTCCACTAGGTGGAAAAATAATGGAGGCTTTGCAATTGCTCTTACTGTTTTGGATGAAAAGGAAACGTCGAACCCCAAAACGTTACTGGACACACATAATTTTTTTACGAAGAGGTGATTTTGGAGAATAGCATCATCTTCTGGATGAAGTTTTAAGAGATGAAGAAACATGTGTTTCCTATATTCAGATGCGCCCTGAAACTTTTCAAATCCTTCTTGATCACATTGGACCTCATATTGAGAAAAGAACAACGAATTTTCGAAAACCTTTGTCTTCAAGAGAAAGACTTGTGATAACTCTACGGTAAGTGGCACATTGAAGATGACTAATGACAAAAACATATTTTAGGGCAGGTAGACAGACAGGCCGACGGGTGGGTTGAAAGATGGATCGATGGATGATAGATTGACACTATAAATTTACAGCAAAACAAGTGTTGATGGACATTTTTGCGGCTGGTCTAATCACTTGCTGAGAGTAAATTGGGAGAAATTTTAGTTGCAAGTTATAACGTTCGGGGTCGATTCAGCAAATGGGAGCGGCAAAAAAAAAGGAGAGGAACGCGAGAGGGGTGCACTCCGTTGCCTAGATTGAAATATGAGACTCTTCCGGTGATTCGGCAACTGAGAGCAAAGGTTATGCTGGGACCATGACGAAGCGGAGAGGAAAACGAATGCACTCAGTTCACAGGTTTAGCGTGACCTTTTTTCCGATTGATCGTACTTCGCTTGACCTTACTACACTGGACCTAACCTCGGTTGACCTTGCTTCACTTCAACTCACTTCCCTTTACCTTCACCACACTCCTCATTATCGTGCGCCACCTTTCCTGTAACCGGAAATTTCTAAGAAGACCCTTATTTTTTCGAACAAAATTTCATCGATGGACCTTTTTCGAACACGTATCATTTCTCACTTTCTTTCTGAAATATACATATATATATACATATATATCTTTTATATACACATATATATACATTTATATATATATATATATATATATATATATATATATATATATATATATATATATATACTATAATTTAATACTAACTCTCCAATCTGTTTAATTTTATATTTAAGAAAAGCAAAAAGAGCTATATATATATATATATATATATATATATTTTATATACACATATATATACATTTATATATATATATATATATATATATATATATATATATATATATATATATAGTTACAATGCTGCAAAACGAACCCTCCAGTCTGTTTAGTCTTCGATTTAAGCCAAGCAAGAAGAGCGGCCAACTCCCCAGTGTCCAGGCGGTTCTCACGCTGGTAAACCCCGAGACCTTTATCGGTGCAGCTGGGCTTGGCGCACAGAGCTGCAGGGTAGCCCAGAAGAGAGTTCGGAACGATGCAATCTCGCTTTACTGTGATTGCCACTCCTGGGGTTTTGGTCTGAAAGTATATATTACATTATTATTATTATTTTTTTTAATGAGTGCGTTAATATTCAATTTGATATGTCTGAGTGGAGAGAGGTATTCAGTAATCAATAAGAACCTGGGTCACATGCGGACTTTGAAGCCCCTTCGACCAAACCACAACGCTTAAGTGATTATTCCCCACCGATGTATTCTTCGAAAACCCATCGCCATGTGCATTTACAAATGTATCTTAAACTTTAAATTCAAGTTTTTTTTTTTAAAGCGAGTTTTAGATGCTCTAAAATATATGTACTTTATAACATTTTACACGTAAATTGATTGCTGCTCAAAGAGAATTTGATTTTACAACTTAGAATGGAAATATCTGTTCTTTAAATAACCATATTTGTGCGCCTGTGCATGTTTGGTTACATCCCCTTGCTTTCACAACAATCGCTCTGATGGGCCTAAGGTTAATTTAACCACACAATGGCTCTGATGGGCCTCTGGCTGCTTTGACCATACACGGGTTCTGTTGGGCCTCTTGTAGCTTTAACCATACAATGACTCTGATTGGCCTCTGGTTGCTTTAACCATACATGGGCACTGATGGGCCTCTGGGTGCTTTATACACGCAATGGCTCCGATGGACCTCTGGTTGCTTTAAAAATACATGAGCTCCGATGGGCCTGTGATTGCTTTAACCGTACATGGGATCTGATGGGCTTCTGGGAAGGGAAGTTATTTATATGTTTGTTCGACTCCACAGAGTGCTAAAGATGGAAACCCTGGCGTAGAAAGTGGGTTGCGGAGGAATACACTGTTCATACAGGAACGGGCGGCATTTTTTGGACAACTTCAGAGGTTGTTTTTGGGTTGAAGCGGGACGGGTAAAAAGCTTTCTTCCCACCCGGGGTGGCGCTAACCTTATCTAGGCCATTGAATTGGACCCACGATATTTAAAATGTTTTTCTGAAGAAAAACTTTCAAAAAAAAATATAACTAAATAATTAGAGGTTTCTTTTGGTCGGGGATTTTTATTTAAACAATGGAAGAAAAAATTTTATTTTTAAAAATCTAAATTTCCCTCCATTTTGAAATTATGAATAAAGATAATTTTCCAAACCTTCGTTGTTTATAATTGTTAGGATGTTGTTATTTTTTATCGACATTGTTTGACGATGTTCCGTAATATTTAAAAAGGTACAGACATCAGTGCATGTTTCAGGTCATTAAGTCCCTGGCAACACTAAGCTGTGTGGTAATTTACTTATTTTCCATGTTTCCCTCAAAGCGAAACGGAAATCTGGATAAAATTGACTTAGAATACGTCAAACTAAAAAAAATTTCCAGAAAAGCATCTTTCATTTTTTATTGAAAAAAACAGTTGTTTTTAATATTTAAAAAGACCCCCCCCCCACCCCCCAAAAAAAGAAAGGAAAAAAAAACTGTTTCACTACTGCCCCTGTTCCAGCTGGAAGTATAAAATAGGACTCTGAAAGAAGTGCAAAACGGAGGCATTCGGTTGTGTACTAGCCTGCTCTGCTACAGCACCACTCCCGGGAGGAGGTCTGAAGAGGACATTCAAAGAGCAGAGAGGGGCGTTCACCAGCAAAGAATTGTCGCTTCTGTCCAGAGTGATGGTGTACTTGACGTCGTAGGCTTTAACGACCTGATCACCAGGACGCAAGTCAACTTTAGGAGAGGAGGATAACTGGAGGAGACAATGTATATGAAAACGATAATTAAGTCAAAGCGAAAGGTAGATAAACAAAAAAATGAAGAAATAAACGGCTCTGCAGTGACGTGGCTAGGGTTTTATTGCTACCCGGGGCGGCCAAGATTTTTTGGCACCCCCACCCTTTTTCCCCCTTCGAACAAACAGTCCATATAATATATATATATCACAGACAGAACAAATTAATGTCTTCACAAATGCAATTAAAACCGAGTCTAAATACAAATCGCCCGGGAAAACGTTGCTTACAAAAAGAACTGGAGGGAACCCTGTTAGACCAGGACGCGTGGTCAGCACAACAACGTAGAGCTTCCGGACACCAATGAGAGCACTCACCTTATAATATGCTACACGGGGTTTCCCGGGTGTGACGTCATAAACAATGGTGAGCAGAGTGCCTACTCTGACCTCGACGGCCGTGGCGTAGGAAAGAAAGTCCCTGAAAAGAAGTGCATCAACGCGCATTAGGCAATCCTACTGATGAATCATACCCCACGCCCTGGGACACATTTAGCCCTATCTTGTAAGGGGGGGTCAACATGCGATCAATAAAGTGATTACTCTAGCCGTAAGTTAACAATGCATATTGTTAGGCAATGTGAAATAGAATGTGGAAAAATGAAGTTATTGTGCAATAGAAAGTTGGGAACAGGAATTTTATCTGAAATATAATTTTGAAAAATGAAGGTAATATGAAATAGAAAGTTGGGAACAGGAATTTTATGTGAAATAGAATGTGAAACAATGAAGGTAATATGAAATAGAAAGTTGGGAACAGGAATTTTATGTGAAATAGAATGTGGAACAATGAAGGTAATGTGAAATAGAAAGTTGGGAACAGGAATTTTATGTGAAATAGAATGTGGAACAATGAAGGTAATGTGAAATAGAAAGTTGGGAACAGGAATTTTATGTGAAATAGAATGTGGAACAATGAAGGTAATGTGAAATAGAAAGTTGGGAACAGGAATTTTATGTGAAATAGAATGTGGAACAATGAAGGTAATGTTTGAGCTATATATATATATATATATATATATATATATATATATATATATATATATATATATATATATATATATATATATATATATATATATATATAGAGAGAGAGATATATATAGAGAGAGAGAGATAGAGAGATATAGAGAGAGAGAGAGAGAGAGAGAGAGAGAGAGAGAGAGAGAGAGAGAGAGAGAGAGAGAGAAATATATATATATATATATATATATATATATATATATATATATATATATATATATATATATATGCATATATATACATATATATACATATATATAGAGAGAGAGATATACATAGAGAGAGAGAGATAGAGAGATATAGAGAAAGAGAGATAGAGAGAGAGAGAGAGAGAGAGAGAGAGCGAGAGAGAGAGAGAGAAGGAAGGAATATTTAGCTTTGGCCATTACATTCAATTTCATAGCACACTCACAGGAAGAGATGATTTTTCCCGAACACCGTCACGTCACACGAGGAACTTGCCTTAAGCGAGGCCAGCCTGTATCTACAAGGTATCGGTACCGAGGCTTTTTCCCCGCAGAACGTTTTGAGGTAGGGGTCATCAATCACGTGACAGGAGACAGAATCTGTTGCAGGACATGTAACATATTCTGATCACGTGACAGGAACTTAGTCTGATCACATGGCAGGAAGAACAAGGAAGCAGTATGAAAAGGCAATTATTGTAGGGGTTAGATGACTTCGACCAGGCGTCTCAAACTCAAATTAACCGAGGGCCGCAGGAGGTTAGAGTCTGGGTGAAACTGGGCCGCATCAAGTATTCCACACAAAAAAAGCGTTTGCAAATTCACTATAGTACAACTGTTACAACCTGCCCAACCTTTGTTAATAACAAAAAACATGAAGGGATCTCAAGAACTAGGCCGTCACATTGCGTAACATTGTTAATGGCATTATATCCTTAGTTAGAAAATAAAATTCCTGGTTGTCTAAAGTAAAGCATTCAGCTAAGAAATGCTATGAAAATAATGAGCTTCTGGTAAGACGAACAATAATAAAATAAAAATATGGTGATTCCCAGTGGCGATTTTAAAATTGAAACGTGTACAGAAAGAAGGCAGGAGCAAGACATATTTATGATTTATTGATGCGAAGGAAGATGATACTGTACGGAAAATGAATTTTGATTTTTTTTTCATCACTGAAAAGGCATTTTTGACTAACCCTATTTTGAAAGTGACCTAAGCTGATAGGATCGTAATTTCCCTCACTGGTCACTCGTACACACTAGCGGCAATTTTAATAGGGATTCGTTGATGCTGTGTTGGATTGCTACATTTTACACAATTATGGTTGACTAACTGACTCTTTAAACTTTTGAAATTTGTACATACAATATTCAAGCATGTTTTCTCAAACCGCATTTTGGCCATGTTTGTCTCATACAATGCTATAAAATAAAAGACTGTAGTCAGTTTTCAAAGGGTTTTTACCATTATAATTTACGTCAAAACTTATACAAACATAATTTAAATCAGAATTAGATTAGTCAGTGAGATTCGACTGAAACCGTTGCGGAGATTCCTATTATAGATATGAGAATGGGAAAAACGCGCGGGCCGCATTAACACTAAACTTTTACTGTCAAGTAGCGGGCTGGAAAATATCGTCTTGCGGGCCGCAAATGGCCCGCGGGCCGTGAGTTTGAGACCCCTGACTTAGACTAAGACTTGTGACGCCCGTTCCCTCAGTGGCGAAGCTAGGATTGAAGCCACCCGGGGTTGGTTAAGATTGTTACCAAACCTTTCCACGAAAAAAATCCCCTCTGCAAATGGCCGAAAAGAGCCACACATTGACATAAAGAAAAAAGCTCTACCCTGAGCCGACCTTCCACCCTCCCTTCCTACGAAGGTAAGATCTGGACATTTCTCAACAATCTTTCAATCAATAGTATTCAAGTGCCATATATTTTTTTTTAAAAAATAAGTCTTCTTGTTTTATTTTGATTTTTCTTTTAAAGACATGTTTGTCATTTAAATTAAAGCATGGGAATTAGGAAGACGAAGAGCGAAACAAGACAACACAAACCAAAAACGCGCATGTCTGCATTTAGTCTGGTTTTTTTCAGCTAACAACAAAGGAAGAGCAGTAGATGGGGAAAAAAGAGTATGATTTGATGTTTCTTAGTGAAAGAAAAAAAGCTGCCAACTATTGCAGCAGTATCTTAGAGTAGATAAACCAGTTTTTCATAAACAATTTAGTGGATTTTTGAAAACGATGTCACTGCACTATTTCGTTGTAAATAATGCTAGAGAATAGAGATGAATTAATTCAAATAGTGACTGATAATGTATTATCCACATTCACAATAGGAAATACATGTTTTTAAAAATCGAAAATCGAGAATTATATCACATACATTTCATTTACTAACTTCTTGATAACATACTCTTTTTTACTTGATATTTGTATCAACACAATATAAATCTTCATTACAACATCAATGGTCGTCTTTTATCTATCTTTTCAAAATAAACCTCCATTATTCAACTCCCTTTTCTTCTGATTGGTCAGTTTCTCCCAAGTCCCAACACTCTATATATTATATAAGAAATAATACCCATATTACTTACCTCCCATTATTATTCATATCTGTGACAAACGAAATCCGAAAAATTTAGAGTTATTATCAATCATCATCCGGAAAAAAAAAATCATAATAGCAGCTGCCGTTCCCATCCGACAATAAAAACTCTAAGAAAAAAAAATACCGTTGTTGAAGCACTTGACATGTCCGACACCAATATACGGTGGTTTACAGCGGCACGAGCTGTTGTTCCTGCAGGCGGCTTCAGGAGCGCACACGCGACGACCACACTTCACCATGTCTGCAAAAAAAAAACAACACAAAAAAAAAAAAACCCTCAGAAAACCTATTAAACACATGGGAGATAAAAAGTGCTCTGGAAAATAAATGGATCAGCAAAGGATGAATAAGGATAAAAAAAAAACAACACAAAAAAAAAAAAAACCCTCAGAAAACCTATTAAACACATGGGAGATAAAAAGTGCTCTGGAAAATAAATGGATCAGCAAAGGATGAATAAGGATGGAGAATACGAACCAACCAGGAATTGACTGTATAGACTCTAGACTTTATCAGGATCACACACTAGTAGCAGAAATTTAAAAAAAAAAAAAAAAAAAAAAAAAAAAAATAAAAAAAAAAAAAAAAAAAAAAAAAAAACAGGGCAGGCTGCGCTGGGCAGGACACTTAGAAAGAATGTCAAATGACAGAGGAGTGAAGAGGGCTCAAAGACAGATTTAGGCTTAGATGGGTGGATGGTATGGGGGAAAAAAAAAGATCTACAGCAGCTGGGACGAGTGCCCCCTTCGCAACCCCCTCACGGACGTCCCTTGATTAAAGGTCGGTTAAGAAAATAAGATGTTAGACACGCGAAAAAGTGTTCTTAAAACAATTAGGTTTGGGTGGGTGGGGGTGGGGTGGGTGAAAATTCAGTTCAAGGGGATGTCGTCGTTCTATGACAGCAAGAAAGAACGGAAATATATATAAGTTAAGATTCTTTAATTGATCCAAACAAATGGAAATGTTTTTTTTTTATTGCATTGTACATCTTCAGGACATAAATAAAACAAGCTGGTGTCTTATTAAATTATGTTACTAGTGAAAAGAAAAACAGCCATTTAGTGAATTCTCTTAGCCATATCAGGGACTTATTAGTTCTCATTAACATTATATATATATAAACCGAGGAAATGTGAAAGCTTGTACAAAAGTAAACTTAAAAATGTAACGAATGTTTGCGCAGGGTAAACTACTTCTTAAGTGATTTTTAAAAAGTTTGTTAAAGTTAAGTTTAAAGTAAGATTGACAGACAGTGATAAACTAGACAACCTTACCGGCAGTGTGTTGTACATTTTCTCCGAGCTTAGCTTTAACTGTTTAATTGTCGTTTTAGTAGTTTACTAACTAAGGCTTGAAAAAAAAAAAGCTTTCACGCACTTTGATCGCTTTGATTGCTTGATCGCATTCGCCAAATCAATTTTAAAACGAAAAAACTAAGAAACCGTTGAAAAGAAAAAGTTTTTAAAAAAAAATTTAAAAAAATCAACACAAAAATATAAATGAAAACGCGTTTTTTTCATTAAAATAAATCATTTGAAGTGTTAAATTAAGAATTTAAATGTTGGATGAATTTTTGAAATGAAATAGTTAATATGTTAAACCTTAAACGAATCATTTTATTTTTTCACTAAATTTCATAGTGCTAGCCATGTTTCTCAATGGCTAATACGGTTAAAGCGAACAAGAGGAATGGAAGTTTTAAAAACGTTTTATTCTGAAGACGTGTAACGAAAGCACTTTTGAATAATAATTTTAAAAAATAAACAGCATAGCATTTGGTGGCAAATTAAGGCACACACTTTAATATTGGTTTTTAGCTGAATGAGTTGTTTTTTTTTTTACTTCTTTATAAATTTCATGAGAGCGTTATATATTTATGCCTCCCTTTAAAAGGTAGTGCCCCAAGCCATAACCCC